ATGTCATACCAAGTAACACAAAGATTGAGAAAAACTTAAAAACAAAAAAATACTACAAAATAACATATTATTATGCAGTTTATATGTTACACGTGGATTCGTCTATCTCAACCCACTCGATTCTTATAACAGTAATAGTAGAAATATGTGTTTGACTTTTTTAGTTTCAAGTATTTGTTTGATCTATCCCCATTATATTTTATTATCCTATTATAAGGATGTGAATTTTATTTCTTTCTTAATTTTATTCCCAACTAGCTTATAAAATAAAAAAATTTATGATCCAACTTTTGCACCAGTATTTTGGAAGTTTACCATTTTTAAATATTTGCAAACAATAAGCTGTTGGTGAGTTACAGGTTATGTATATTTTAAAGTTGTTAAACATTTTTATACCTAGTCGAAAAGAGGCCGATAAATGAGTCCCATCTTTGGCGTGGTGTTGTCTATGTGGGTCTCTGTCCGAAGAGATTCACCTACAACCGTGATGAGCGTTAGCACTAGGTGATATTTGCCGGGCTAAGAGGATCAATGAGCGAGGAGCGACAAGTCGGTCCACGGTCACCGTGTATTCAAACGGAACACCAGCGCCGGACAACTTAGTTATCCGTACCGTTCGCAAACCTCGGGCACCTTGGAAGGGTCGCGGCCACTATACAAGCCACTTCGTTTTATGGTAAACACAACGTCCAGTGTATCTTCCCACTGTACTTTGGTGTGGCGTGTGAGCGTTACACGATGAAAATTGTATAATTTCATAGATTGAAGTTTATTAAAACATTTTAAAAATTTAGCTGCGCCTACTTGCACATTTAATGATAATCGGTGATTGAAATTGCGTATTCGTTACTTTTTTTTTATTTTAATTATTATGAAATAATGTACTATATCTTATATTTTTTAAAGCTTTTTGACTCAAAATCACACGTATAATATTTATGAGTGTATACTAATAATTGGACTACACATCTAGCATACACTAGTAATATTAAATAATATACATTATTTTACAATAAATAAAATAAACAATATCTGACAGTAATTTAAATCACTACCATGAAAAACGCTTCGATGAAAATATGTAGTTAGAGTTTAATTTTTGAAAAGAATTATTGAATTATTCAAAAGCAAGTTGAACAACTATTTCCTTATTTATATCCTGATTAAAACTTTTATGATTTATAAGTATAATACACATATAGTAAACACAGTAGATAAGGCATAACTATAAATTTGAGTCTATGGGAGCAAAATTTCTACCATCTTTTGAGATCTATTTAATATCACGAAAAGTCTGTTTACTCGATAAAATCTTTTACCCAGCTTTACCGTTACATATGAAAAAGAACTGATGTTAAATGGCAACCGTTTTAAAGATAGCCACCTAGAAGCAAATTTCTTCATATTACAACAAATTCAAATCGCAAATTTTCCATTGAATAACGCTTTTATTTTTAACAGTGTAGTATAATACTATCTGAACTTTAAGCTTGATTCTTTGATCACCAAAACAAGATTAAATTTTCTTAACAGTTGCTATTAGACAAACATATTGATTGACAAGGTTTGTTATTCGATGATTTATTATTTAGTACTCCGTTTTAGTTGTTGTTAAGTATTGAAAAATTTAAATCTTGTAAATAATATTTTTGAGATGAATAGAATAGCTTTCAGACTTTTCTAAAACATTATCTACTTTGGAGGTTGTCGGAAAATTTAAGATATTATACCATTCAATGTTTTGTTCACCAATTAAATTTAAAAGAATAGCTTCTTGTTCTTTTTAGGTAACTTGTTAGTAGAAGGCAACCGTACGTATAAATCATACTTCTGTTACCACCTTTTCCGCAAATACTTTTCTTTCATTATACTGTATTGTTACTTATTATTATACCTACCCCTTCAATTCCTGGGTTATTTTCCGCTGTTTCTGTTTCTGTATCGATCTATAATCTTCACTCCATAAATCTCCAAATATTGACCATCTCATTTCTGACAGGCCAAGGATATAAATCATCATCCTTGCCATTTCTATTTTCAAGTCTCTGTATTACAACATAATTCTAACGTTCCAAGTAGCTATTTTTCTCCAATTCTGAACACATCTTTCTTCTCTAGTAGCCCTCCTGGAGATCCAAATGGAAGACTGTTTACCTCCGCAATATTTCACTTGAGAAAATGTTATGTTATTATAAATTCTTGAGATGTTTTATACAGTGGTCTTCTCTTGCCATCCATATCGCAATGCAGCCACCAGTTATACAGTTTCTTTATAACTAAGCTGAGTACTGTTCGGTGTGTAGCTGTTTCTACCATTATAGGTTACCTGCACCTACACTTAATATTATAGTAACTGCTGCCTTATTATAATAATATAGTAAAATGTCCGTTCTTATTATCCAAGTATTGAGAAACCGGGAGCAAAAATGACATGATCGCATAAAAATAGCATGTATTTACCACAAACGAGAAGAGGATTATTATGTTACAAATTAAATTTTTGACTTTAAACGTTCATTACGAACGTTTTCGGGTTAGAGTAGGAGTTCATCAGGTTTCTGCTTTAAGCCCTTACTTATTTTCTATAGTGATGAATGAAATTACCAGGGAAATACAAGGAGAGGTCCCGTGGTGCATGTTGTTTGCTGACGATAATATCGTCACGATATATTGAGGTGGAAAGTTTTAAGTATTTAGGATCAGTTCTGAAAAAGAGCGATGGTATTAAAAACGATGTAAGACACAGGATTAAGTGCGGGTGGTTGAAATGAAAAGAAGCGTCTGATGTCTTATGTGATAAAAGAATTCCAATGAGGTTGAAAGATAAATTCTACAAGACTGTAGTGAGACCAGCTATGATGTACGGTTCAGTGTTGGGCGGTTGATAAGAAATGAGTGTAGTAGAGATGAGAATGCTTAGATGGATGAGTGGAGTGACTAGAGAAGATAGGATAAGAAATGAGCATATAAGAGGATATAAGAGCATATAACAAATTTTTTATGTTCAATTATTTTTTCAAAAAAAAATAAGTGGCTATAATGTTTTAATAAGGTTTTCTGTGTCCATTATAAATCAATTAATTTTGTAACGGAAATACTAACATTTAAAAAAAAGTTATAAGCAAATAAAACGGTAGCACAGTGGGGTCATAGCATAGTTGGGTTCAGTATAGATGATATCTGACAGTGATTAAAATCACTATCATAAGATACGCTTCAATGCAAATCTGTAGGTAGTGTTTCATTTAGAGAAATTGGTGGATTATTCCAAAAGCAACATCAACTCTTATTTCTTTGATTATATCCTAATTAGTAGTTCTTTGATTTTAAAATATTATATATGAATAAATACTAATTATAATTATTAAATTAAGTATGAAAATAAAAAAGTAAAAAAAAATTAATAAGTTTAATTTCTTATGTCTTATGACCTTTATTCTATGTCAATTAAATTATATAATATTCATGAAAGTCAATATATTCTTCTAATAAGATATTTTAAAATAAAATAAAATACAAAACCTAAAATTTTAGTAGAAAAATAGCATATTTTTAAATACGGTAGCCATTTGCGCATAGAAGATAGGTTGTCGGGACACATTTTTTTTTTCATTTTATAGTACATAAAATAAGCTTTAATTTGANTCCATTATAAATCAATTAATTTTGTAACGGAAATACTAACATTTAAAAAAAAGTTATAAGCAAATAAAACGGTAGCACAGTGGGGTCATAGCATAGTTGGGTTCAGTATAGATGATATCTGACAGTGATTAAAATCACTATCATAAGATACGCTTCANAGGACGCAGTATTTCTGGAACATTTTCAAAAATTAAGTTGAAAAAGTTAGTTTTTGTAAAAAAGTTGCTATTTTAAATCCCCCCCCCCATAAGCAGGTTAAGTGATAGATTTTCAAAAAAATGATATCAAATGAAAGGAAAATATCTAAGGTTTTAGTATAAAAAAAATTTATGTTGATTTGTTGATTTTTCAAAAAGTTATGGAAGTTTTAAGAAAAAAAGTGAAAGAAATGACAAAATTTACCGATTTTTAAATTTGTAATTTTTTTGGAGGTTTCCCCCATTTTCGGGGAACGAGGGAATTTTTTTCAATTTTTAAGGGTAATGTCTTCAACTAGATACGATTTGTGATCTTTTGACGTATTTTTGAAAGAAATCGGTCCAGTGAGAGCTGAGAAAAAGTGGCAACAGACATAAAAAAAAAAAAAACACATCATAGTAAAATTAATACCTTCACAGCTTCGCATCGAAGCTAAAATTTAATAAATTCTTAATAAAGTAAATAATTGTTTACATTAGAATAAATTTCATACATTATATTAAAAATTATTTTATATTAATTTCATTATCCTTTAAAACTACCTTAACTTTCAAGTAAATAAATGAAAATAAATATGTAAATAATTATTTACATTTCAGTTTTTTAACTTCATTTAATAAATTTTCTTTATTTGTCTTCATTTGACAGTAAATCTATTTAATAAAACAGCTTTTTAAACTAAAAATGTTAGCGGTATTCAACAATAAGAATTGAAATTTGACGAATTCAGGCTTAAATATTTTTTGTGATACACGATCGTAATAACAATTACATGGTTACTTAATTACCAAAAGTAATGATCATTTATACTATTAATTATGTTATTAATATTATTGGCCTAAATTAAATTACAATTTGTAATTACACGAACTATGAATATTTTTTATTATTTTATGTTGATATTATCATGAATTCCCAAGTATATATGTATTCCAAACGTGTGTGGTTCTAATGTCGATTAAAAAATTTTACAACATTGAAATTTTGTTGCCTTAAACAACTTGTCAAATATGTTTAATCGATCATACGAAGGGAAATTTTTAACTGTGTTTTACAGTATTGGTAGCAAACCATTAGACCTCTGGAGAATCGAGGTAATTTCAATATACATATTTAGTTTATTTGACACGGTCCCTCGTCGCTTCGTAATACACGGAGCGCCGCAACCCGCGCCACCTCTGTCAGCCATCGCACCACTACGTGTACATGGTGCTAGTTTGACTGGCCAACATCATGTGCCATACACCACCGTACAATTCTGTAGGGCGACGACGACCCGCCACAAATATATGTTGAGTTTTCATTGCGTCGTCAATGTGACGACGTCGAGGACGTACGCCACCGGCTGCGAACGTGTCGCACGACCTCATCCGACCAACGCACTGTCGACATCAACGCTGCTAACATGGACGTCCGATGACCATGCCGGACACCGTGTGACCGACGTCAATGAAAGTGCAGCGAATTTGTGCAAAGATTATTAGGAATTGCGTTCGTATTTTTAGTTTTTTTTCAAACAATCTGTCGTATGTTATTAATGAACAACAAATAATAAACGACCCATAGGTCTCTTCCATCTATACCAGTTTCGACTCTTTGATTGCAATGTAATTCGTGTCAACTGGTTGACAGGAAGGGGTACCACCATAATTGTTACAAAAATAGAATTGGTATTTGACTTATCGATATTTTGAAAATATTTTTTCTCAAATAGTTTTTATTAAAAAATTAATTAAGTTTAGCTATCTAATAGTTATTTGATTGAAGTTTTCATTCACAGAAAAAAATTGTTGCATACATTAAACTGTTTAAGTTTAATATTACACTGAATGTAACGATATATTTATGTTGTACCCATGTTACAAATACAATAAAATGAAATATTATTTATTTTTTAATGAAAATATTAATTTTATAGACAAGACATGGTGATGTAAGGTTTATCCAAGATGAAGAAACTAAATCAAAAGTTCTTCTAATAACAGCAATTAACGTTGCCACGTGTTACATAACTACTCCAAAAAGTCCCACTGGTTCATTAGGCATTAGACTTCCAATATTTGTCATGATAATCGAAAATCTCAATCAATATTTGTCATTCGTAATCACAGTAATCATTTAATTAAAAAATATAAAATATTAAACACACTTCTTGAAGATATTATCCTCCTATAAATAATGTGGTTAATATTAACCACATATATTAACAAACTGTTAGTATTTTTAATTAACTTGATACTGTCTTGTATATGTGACGACCACATATTAAAGTACTATTGTTTTGCACTTTATTTAAAATATTTTTTTAATATATTTAATATATTTTGCATCTATGCAGTGTTAGTGTATTGCATACATTTAAATGGCTATATTACTAGCATTCTAGTTTTTCTTTAATAAGAAATAATTTAGATTTTAGATGACATGAATATTCGACGTCGTTTCCGTTTTTGCAACTATGTAAAAGACTCCAAAATCGATATTTACTCATATTCCGCGCCTCTTTGCTTAAATAGAGATTGGAATCAACTGATATTTGACTTGGAAAAATTTACCGAAAATGTATTCCAAACAAAATATTTTCAAACTATAAGAATACAGATTCATGCTAATTGTAAACTAAGAAGAATTTATTTTTGTGATAAAGTGTATGATGATAATTCATTGCCTAAAGAGTACCGAGTAAATTTTGCCAAAATTGTAGGACAAAAAACGAAAAACATAATTAAATGGATTTAATATAAAAAAAATTGGAAAGTAAAAACGGATAAAATAAGTTTTTATATATTTTATTATAATTATTTTTATATGAAATTATCTTATTTAAACATGTCCAAACATGTTAATATGACCTTAAACGTTTTATCTATTAAAAAAATTAATTAAATCTAAAGATTAATATAACATAAGTTTAATAGTTAATTATAAAAAAACATTGATCTGATATTGTTTCATAATATGTATTTAAATATGATGGAATTTCGTTGTACACTTCTGTATAATTCATGTTTGTTATTAAATATTATTGTTGGAATAAATAAAACTATTTTATGGCTTATAAATAGTTCAGAAAAATTGCATAATAATACAAAACTAAAATAATACTCAATTCGAGATAGCAATCCAAACCAAATAACTTTACAATGACTGATTTATTTTTGTTATTACTTATGAACTTATCCATTAAGTGTTATTAAATGATTGATTGTACAGCGGCATATTTAAAATTATGTCAAGAGGTTAAAACCCCTCTTTGAACAAGTGCTATATTTCAAATAATAATAATTGAAGCTCTTAGACTGAGGTAAATTTTAAACGATTTATCAAAAACTCATTTTGGCTACGTTTAGATTAAAAAATATTATCTAAATCAATCACATAAGTCATGATAATCATTCATAGATCCTTGGTCTGCTAATTGTAACAATATTAGACTAAGAACACAATTCAATAATTTATATTATCTAACTTATTATATATATATCCTTAAATTGTTTTATAAAAATTTTCATTTTATCAAAATTTATATTATAAAAATCTAACACAATAGGATCATGGCATAAAAGGAACGAGGCAAAATTGAAACGTAGAAATATAGATAATATCTGACAATTATTAATTATCATAAAAAACGACTCGATGCGAATCAATTAAATTTTATAATTTATATATTTCTCTTTAAAACAATTTCTATGATTTAAAATTTTGTTGGAATATTAAATGCTTGTAAAATTACTTGTTCAACTAAAAATAATGTTATTTTTTGGCATTTACGGTCAATTTCACATGGTAAAACAATCGATCGGGACAATGGTCTTTAATATTACAGTACACATCAAAGGTTTTAATTTAATGAAGGTGAAAAGCTGTCAGACTTTCCAGTCCAGAAGTTTTCAAAAATCAAGTTGAAATATTTTTTTTTACTATATTTTACGGTAGCACAATTTTAAGATATTATTTCAAATTTCTGAAAATAATAATGTTAATAAATTCATTTATATTAGTAAAATTTGGTTTTTTTGACATAATAATTATTAAAATTAGTTCAGCTAAGAATTTTCACGACAACCATAAAAAACATGCATTACCACAAAGTCCATACCTTCTCAGCTTCACAATGAAGCATTATAGGACTATCAGGTATACCATCATTTGCTTAGTCTCTGTTTCAATTATTCAAAGGTCAGCTCTATCTAATTGATTCATAAGGATTTTTACACTGGCTATTGCAGTGACGTAACCTTATTATGGCTTAGGTAACCAGTAAGGGGACATCGTGTGTGTCTTCGTTAAACTTCCCATGTGGTCAACTATTCAGAGACTAATAGCAAATAGCGTAACTGAACATCAGCACTAAGGCAACACAACTCAATATACCACGGACTATCAAGTACATAATACCAAACATTTATTACATAAACTTATCTTTATATATAAAAAATCTCATGTCACGGTGTTTGTCCGCGATGGACACCGATATTACTGAACCGATTTTGATGAAATTTGATATATATGTGTTATTGGGTCCAACTTAGACAGTAGTAGAATGTTTATCTTGATTAATAGCCTCAGTTACTTTTTATTGAAAATTGTAATCGTAAAAGTCGATTGCTATTTTTTTCTCATAGATGGCGGTATGAAAATTTTATATTTTATCAATTTTCATTATTAAAGTCATATAAGAGTCCAACAGATGGTGCTTGTCTAGGTGTATTTCCTTTCAATAATCGTAAACCCTTCTCAAAATTATTGACAATAATTGGTGATTTCAGCTTATAACCGAATTAATATATATTTTTTTTTTTTAGATACCTTAGATATTAACCTTTCATTTGATATCATTTTTTTGAAAATCTATCACTTAACCTGCTCATTGGGGGGGGATTTAAAATAGCAACTTTTTTACGAAAATTAACTTTTTCAACTTAATTTTTGAAAATGTTCCGGAAATACTGCGTCCTTTAAACATATATAAAATTAAAGCTTATTTTATGTACTACAAAATGAAAAAAAAAATTTGTCCCGACACTTTTTCTTCTACATTTAAACGGCTGCCGTAGTTAAAAAAACACTATTTTTGTGTTAAAATTTTCGATTTTCGATTTTTAATTTTCAACTTAAAAATGCTATAACTTTTTGAAAAATGTATATATCAGCACAAATTTTTTTTTTTAAATACATTATAAGTACATCTTTCATTTGACATACTTTTTATTAAAATTGGACAATTTCCCCTTATATAGGGGGCGTTCAAAACTTAAAATATTGTAAAAAACATAGATCTTTTTCAACTGAACTTTTGAAAATGTTCCGGAAATACTGCGTCCTTTAAACATATATCAAATCAAAGGTTATGTTATATACTATCAAATGAAAAAAAAAAATTTGTCCCGACATCTTATCTTCTATGTGCAAATGGCTGTCGAAAATTTAAAAAAAAATGTAATGTTTGCGATAAAAATTACATTTTATCGGGATGTTTTTTGTACTTAAAACTGCCATAACTTTTTCAAAAATGAACAAATAAAAATAATATTTTTTTGTATTGAAACCTTAGATATTTCCCTTTCATTTGATATAATTTTTTTTGAAAATCTAACACTTATTCTGCTCACTGGGGGGATATAAAATAGTAACTTTTTCAACTTAATTTTTGAAAATATTCCGGAAATACTGCGTCCTTTAAACATATATAAAATTAAAGCTTATTTTATGTACTACAAAATGAAAAAAAAAATTTGTCCCGACGGCCTATCTTCTATACGCAAATGGCTACCGTATTCGAAAATATGCTATTTTTGTATTAAAATTATGGGTTTTGTATTTTATTTTAATAGAAGTCGATGTTGCTTTTGTAATTATCCAACAATTTTTTAAAATTAAACACTATCTACAGATTTGCATCGAAGCGTTTTTTATGATAGTGATTTTAATCACTGTCAGATATCATCTATACTGGACCCAACTATGCCACGACCCCACTCTACCGCCACCCCACTGTGCTGGATTTTATTTTTTTTTATATTTCTATTTAACTGTAGCTAATAGTAATAATAATACATTTGCGGAATGTTTTGATAAAAAAAATCACATAAATAACTATCATAATTTACTAAACTACTCTTAACATGAATTGTTGAATAAAATTATTGGCATTTTACAATATGTTTAATTATATTTTCCGTGATTTTGTGGATTTTTAGAAGTGATTATTTATTAGTTCAGCAAACTGATAGTCTTCCTTTTTAATAAAATATCAGTGTGACTGCATATATTTCATCAACATTTTTTACATCTTCCCTTGAATTATTTTCTGATAATCTCTTCTGAACATTTTTGCTTATTTGTTTACCCTGGATAATTATTTTACTCTTTTCCCTGTATTATTTAATTATTTTATAATGTAATTTAATAAAACAATGACAAATAATGTAGCTAATAACTTTTATATTTATAGGCACTATTTCAATAAAATTTTAGAAGAGATAATCATTTTCCTAACTTACCCACTCTAAAATTTATTTTTGTATAATTGCATATGTAATTTTTCGTAAGTTAAAATTAGTGGTTAGCCCATCCAAGATCCATTCTCTCTCAATTTGTGCCTATGTCTACATTAATATTGTATTGTGTTAATATATGTAATTTATGTATTATATTTATATGTGAGTATGATTTATATGATATTTGAAAACTATATATATATATTTTATATTTAAAGTTTCATAAAATTTGTCCCGACGGCCTATCTTCTATACGCAAATGGCTACCGTATTCAAAAATATGTTATTTTTGTATTAAAATTATGGGTTTTGTATTTTATTTTAATAGAAGTTGATGTTGCTTTTGCAATTATCCATCAATTTTTTTAAATTAAACACTATCTACAGATTTGCATCAAAGCGTTTCTTATGATAGTGATTTTAATCACTGTCAGATTAAATCTATACTGGACCCAACTATGCAATATCTCCACTATGCCGCGACCCCACTGTTCTATCGTTTTTTTTTTCAATTATGTCATTTTATTTGATTTAATATATTTAATTCAATGTATTTTAATAAAATCCATAACATTTTATGTAATTTATTTATGCTTTTTTTTTTTTTTTTTTATTCACATCATGCAAATTTGAAATCAAACATTGATTGTATATGTTTGACTTTATTTTATTTCTTCTTTGTATTTAATTATTGATTTAAAATATTTTATTAAATTTATTTCAAAAATTTTATTTCAAATAATACATAATATTAATCGTATATTTTTTATTCAATTTTATGAAATTTTTTCTTCCTAACCTATTCGAAATTTAAAATAAATATATAATTTTATTTACGACCCATCAGCACATATATTTCTGAACAATTGCTGGATATTGGCATTGGTAGAATAAGACTGCATCTAAATACACAATGCATTAAATTGCCAGATAACTTCTACACATTTGTCGAGACAAAATCAGAATTAATCGAATAGGTTTTATCAGCTGTACTGAATAATTACTCAAACGACGATTGGCTTAGTGAGCGTGAGCAATTTTAGCCGCAAAAAATGTTGTTGATGAAATTAACTTTCAGATACAACAATTTTTATCGGGTGATCTGATGTCGCTTAACTCGATTGATAGTGTTGTTCATGAAGACGAGCGGTACATTACGCAACAGAATTTTTAAATTCTCTGAATCACCGATTATTCTACTACGTAATTTGAATCCACCCAGACTATGCAATGGTACACACGTTTGGTCATCAAAAGAATCAACGGAAATGTTATTGAAGCAACCATTTTGACAGGAAGATTTAAAGGAGAAATTGTTATTGTTTGGCCGCCGATCAAATGCAGCAACGTCACTTGCACATCACCTACTAACACAATATAAATTGTCGCGCGTGTGTGAACGGCGAGAGAATCTGGCGAAAATACGTTAACGATCCTAAAACGCACAGTGGTTTGCCTCAACTTGAGGGCCTACAGTTGAAATCCGAGATCGTGTTTTTTGGTAACAAGGGGAAATTGTGGAAGTCTATCCGCTGGTCCATGTCATTGAGAACATTTATTTTCCTTTTGCAAGGACGGACTAAATAACCTTGCATATAAACTATATATATATATATATATTAAATTTGTGTAGTAATATCGGTATACTAATTTATGTAATATTGTGATTAACTATAATAAATTTACATTTATTCTGTTAATATTGAAGAGTATTATCATTAATTTTATCATTACTTAAGATTCAAGTCGTGTCTATAAGGCGAAAATACTGAATGCCCCGGTCCAGAGGTGTAGCGGTCGGTGGCTTAACAGTTCTGTTTCCACGTATCTCAATGATACCGTCAGATACCACGATATTATTCAAAAGACTTCAATTCCCTGTTCGATTAGCATTCGCAATGGCCGTTAACATATCTCAAGGCCAGACAATGTCCATTTGTGGCTTACATTTAGAAAATTTACATAATAAGAAACATAGAAAATCCATGTTTCTCTTATGGTCAATTATATGTTGCATGCTCACGTGTTGGTAAACCGTCAAATTTATTCATATTAGCAAAAGGACAGGTTAACTAAAAATATTGTGCACCAAATAGCGCTTAATTAAATTTAATATTAACATAACATAATAGTAACATAATTGTTTGGAGTAAAAAATAATAATTAACAAAGGTATAAATTTAATTTTAATTTTTTCAAACATTTATAATATTAGAAACACATAAAATTACAATAATGAACAAAAATTTGGCAATCAAAATAATTCAGTAAAAAACATAAAATATTAAAACAAAATAAATACTATAAGACAAAAAACATTAAACCTGTAAAAAAATACATTATTGTTAAATTCATATATTTAAATTACACACTATAAAGAAAAGGAAACTGACGATATTATTTTTGTACTGTGCTCCTCGATTGTTATTAATACACAAATGTGAGTACCTGAGATGAATACATAATTAGAACCAGACAAGATTTTCAAATAAAATTTTTACAATCACTTAATATAAGAACGGCATAATAATGATAATTTTTTAATTTCAAATAAACACTATAAATTAACAATATATCAAATTATATAAATCGATTGAAAATAATTAATGATATTTTTGACATAACAGATGTACAAAACAAGCAATTTGAAAATATACAACTTACAAAATTATATAGTAACAAAGTAAACATGAAAAATTTTATTTTATACTTCATTCATAATGAACTTTAAGCATATCTCAATAACTTCATTGATTCATTATTAAAATATTTTAGCTATTTATAGATTTTTAAAGAAACTTAAATAAAAACCCTGTACAACTTTGTATTTATGGAAATAATAAAAAACTGTATCAAAAATTTGTGTAACATCATAATAGTTTAAAGCACCAAATTATATAGACAACATCTACTAATAATATAGCTTAAAAGTCTTTCTTAAAGCTAAAGCTACGCTATTCAATAGCAATAAAGGCTATAAAATTAATTGGCATTACATATTTTAGGTACAATGATACATACCTATATTTAAAAATATAAAAGCTTTGTTAAAAAAATAAATAATACCCTTATCAGATCAATATTCATTGTAAGGCAGTGAAGTTATTTGATACTTATGAATATAATGTTCTTTCAACCCATTCTTCTAACGAAAATGAAGCAATATTTTTGTTGTTTGAATCACGTTCCTTAAACATATCTAAAGAAAAAAAATGTTTGCGTCACCCATATATAATTTATCTATAGTACGCCAATTGTGTTAATTGCTTTAATGATACTGACCTATCATAGTCTTAAGCCGAACAGCACACATAATAAAATCATCAAACATAATGTTCCCATCTTTGGTGGCATATCGATGGCAAAGAACATTTAGTATATGAGTATTAAGATGGTATCCAACTGAATTCAAAGCTTGTCTCATTTCACATCCAGTAATATAACCTTTGCTTTCTTTGTCGTACATTTTGAACACAGTCTAGATAAAATAAATATATTTATAAATTTTACAAATATTTTAAGGGTCTGCTTAATATGACATTCTATTTTTTAATTGAGTAATTATAGAAAAAAAGTATTTGTTGAAGCTAAAACTAAAGCAACATATTTGTAATTGTATTATAAAACATTTTTCAGTGAACTAATTAATTTAGTTATAATTAAAAATTTTACTTAACTTTTTTAAAAATTCGATTACCGTCATTTAATCCAACCCTTGGTATAAATGACATACATAATTTCTTTTCAATAAATTGATTATAAACTCTTTTAAAATCAAATAAAATATTCTAAACTTTTTAATACCACTTCAATAGTCTAATCTTACATTTTAACTGATTAAAATAATGTATAGAAAATGTATACATTAAAACTTTGCTAAAAAAACATTACTTCGATTATTTTTTTTAATTTCAGTCTTTATTTTTATATCTTAATCCATGCCTAAATTTCTCATTATTATATATATTTGGGTAGCATTATCAATCATAACAATTAAAATAATAATTTAGGCCAAATTACATACTACTATATCATTATAATACAATTAACAACTAAGTATCATACTAAAACTATATAAAAAGTTTTCAGATACGGAAAGAGTTATTAGTTCGTAAATATTTTTAATATTATCAAATTATGTCATATTGACGTGCTATATTAATAAAATTCCCTACTTTATGTATTCCAAGAAAATTTTTTTAACTAATTTAAAAAATAATAAACAATTTGTTTTCATTATTATATTTACCTTCCACTGTCTAATGTCTACCCACAACGATTTAAACTCTTCAAATCCTAATTTACCCGATCTATCCCAGTCTAACATAGCAATCATACTGCGGCACACGTCTTTGGAAAATCCGGCTTTTTCCATGTCTAAATTAAAAAAGAACAGATTCAAAAATATTAAAAATCAATCAAAAAATAAATATACATATTTTAATTATCAAACTAAACATCTTTATGGACGTTAATTGAAGCAAAAAACAATAATCATTTATTGTACTTACTAAATGTTGCCCCTAAAGCAGTATTTTGACAAAAAGCTTGGCAGAAATTCTGTAGTAAATTGACAAACAAATTATCTGAGGTTGGGGTTGTACTTGCGATATCTACAAATGGTACAAGTAATATGCAACTATGTTAGTCTAGGTACAAAGCATAAAATTATAAAAGATGAAAAATTGGTTAGTTAATATTATTTGGTAATGCTTAGTAATTAAATACTAGTTTTAATTTTCAATGATTAAAATAAAAAAAATGTTTGCTGGTTAATTATAGAGCATATTGCAAAACTATTATGTTTAAATCTTGAGCTTAGAAATCATGCGACTAATTCAATAAAAAGTAAATGTGATCGAAACTACTCATTTTGAGTTGTCGAAAAGAGTAGTAAATTTTAAATCTTTTAATTACAAAATGTCATTTAATTACTTTTCTATTTTATAAAAATAAAAATATTTAACTTCAAAGAGTTATGATACACCTCTTGAACAGGATTTTTACATAATTTTTTTAACCTTTTTTTGTTTTTTAATGTGTCTTTTCTAATTATTACAAAAGTTAACTTTATAATTTTGCCATATATATTTGAAAAATATATTTGTACGTAAAACTCATGAGTCTACTTTCTTAAATGTTTATTTAAAAGACATTAAAAGATGCTATTAACGTACTAAAATCTCTTCATGCGCAACAAAGAAGTCTGCGTCTCAAAAAATTCAAGATTATGAGATATTTAATTTAGATTTTACTCTTTTTATAATAACTTTCATAAAAATATGGAAAATTTATTTTGAATTGGAGTTAAGCTATTTGAAAAAATTGATATTTATAAAAAGTGTAATCGAAAAATAAAATTTATTTTTGATCTCCTGAAAAGTAATAAAAAATGTAATACTCCCTTATTCGTTGCATATTAATCGATCTATGACCATAAACATGAAAACTATTATTATATTTACTAGCCAATTTTTTGTGAGAGACAACTAATAGAAAATTATAGGGAAAAAAGAAAAAATTGTGTATGTTATTTATGGATTTGAAGATTAGTTTTAAAGCTCACTTTAAAGTTATCTCAGAACTCCAAAAATAAAAAAAAAGGTACATTAGTGTTATAAGTGTGGGAGAAGTAACAGAAGGTTTTAGGGTAAGAGTTGAGGTGCACTAAAGTTTTACTTTAAGTCTTTACTTATTTTTTATAATGATAGATGAAATTACTAGAGAAATACAAGGAGAGATACCGTGGTGCGTATTGTTTGCTGGCGATATTGTTAATAGGAGGAAATTAATAAAATGCTAGAAGTGTGGTGATCAACTCTAGAAGAAAAGGATTTAAGAAAAACCTATTCTTTCTTCACTTAATGATATGTTTACGTTTCAAAGATTATGCTTGTCAATAAAAAACATATATACATATAAATACGTAAAAATGATGACTACATTATATTATTTAAAGTCTGGAAATAGTGTAATCGAATTTAATATTGTATAATAAATTTGTAAATAAATAAAGTAATATTGAATCAGTCTCTCTGAGTTTATAAATCACTAGTAAAAAGTAAGGTAAATATATTTTAACTATTATTTAGATTGTTAAAAAAATAATTAATAACTATAATAATCAAACAAAATGTTTCAAAAGACTACTAAATCGGTTCAGCTTACATGAAATTAATTAGATTTTTCAACGACATCGAAATGCATTTCACTATTATTTTATTTTTTAATCATGTTTCGTTACTGTCAGATGAAAATGTGAATTTTTTTTTAAATGAGATGGATTTATTAAATTCATAAATTAAAGAATCCTAAAATAAAATAATAACCAACCGTTTCTCATAGCATAGTCCAAAATTTCTTTAAGTTCCATCCAGTCAACTTCTTGGTCTTCTCCAGCCAGTTTAAGGAAGAATTCTTTTATCTTTTCATTTGCTGCGTCTACTTTAGCTGGTTCTGGTTCTTGTTCTTTAATCTATGTTAAAAAAAAATAGCACAAGAGTAAAATATTAGTAACAATTTTTAATTTAAAAAAATGATTTACCTTAACATCGACTTCACCAATACCGATTTCATCATCGAGTTCCCTGAAATAAAGAAAAATATAAGTTTTATGTTCACTTGATAGGCATATCAAATAAAAATGTAAATACTTACGCCATGTTATTTTTATGTTCAGAGAATACCCTGAGTAAGAATTCACCTTGTTCGTTGGGATCGAACGTGGAAGGAACAATACAATAAGTTCCAGGGGGTAGACTAAAACGACTACTGATTTCTCTAAGGTTAATAAATGTTGGACTTCTGGCAGTTGAAGCATTATATTTGAAAAAATTTGTATCTAAAGGTTTTGGTAGTGAGTCTGGATTGATAAGCTGAGAATAAAATTTAATAAATACTATTAACAAAATAAAATAAAATGTATAATATATTATTAAAATTATTTTAACAAAATATGAAAACTCAAAAGATAAATATGTACGTATTAATACACCTAATTACATTTTTTCTTCATTAAAATAAAATTAATATTGTTAATATTAATAGTGATAAATTAAAATCTATATTGATAATACAAAATTTTGAACAATGCATATAAATTATTATTCATTTATACCTGATAAACTGCAAATCCAATAGTCAAACACTCTGCTCCTATTTTACGCATAGCTCGACGATTTTTTTGCATCAAGGCAATAATAGCTGTACACTTATTTTCTTCGTCTTCATCGTCAGGGTCTTCAAGAGTTATCCGATATTGAGGATTATTGGCAAATGTATCTATAATAAACACATGTTTCATTAGATGATGTCACATTAATTTATATTTGAAATTGTACACAGATTTTTATTGATCTGACGAAACCTCATTATGGCTTAGAGAATCAGTAAGGGGGCAAGGTGTGTGTTAGTGAAGTTTCCATATGGTCTGTCAACCATCCAAGAACTAACAGCAAACAGCGCAGCTAAACATCAGTGCTAAGGTGGCGACTGAATGATCTACTGTGCCACACTAAAAATTTAAAATGCAATAAAAATTTAAGAAAAATACCTAGAAAATTACGACATCCTCCAGCTGTTGCGCCTCGTACCCATTCACCCTCAAAAACACTCATTTCCCATCGTTTTTTAGCATCTGCACCAAGTTGTTCTTTGTCAAGAAGATCAGGATTCAAGTTACAAATTTCTAACCTTGAATAATACTTGAGAAAGTCTTTGTATGATATCCAAAATTCACCATCCGCATCAAATGTAAGTCCCAATGATTGTTTGTCACTTTCGGAAATAAACCTCCATTCCGGAGATCTAAACGTAAAAAATATTGGTAAACATTTAAATACTATTTGAATTACCAACAAATGTACAATTTTATAAATTATACAATATCAATAATTCATTACCGTTACGTTTGGACAATTAAATTGATAACGAAAATATTAAATAAGCAATATTTAAATACCTAATTATAAAAATAATTAATAAATGAGAGAGTACTTATCACTCCATGGTCCATTCCATTCAGCCTCGTTTCCCCATGGGTTTCTTAATCTGAGCAACGGAATTTTGCCAGTAGTGTTTGGTGTAGTTATATCCACGTAAGACACTCGAGTGATGCTATATGCGTGACCTTTTACAAGACCTTGTGGTGTTTCCATCTCAGAGACACTTGGATCAGCCTACAAATAAACCATAAAATTAGAATAACATAAATCACATACTAAATTGCTTATTTTTTCTTTCAAAATAATTTGTTATACATTATTAGGATCTGTTTTAAATTTTAAAAAGAATATAAAATAACAAATTATACCTTTATATTATTAATGCTATTTACCTCAATAGAACAACCCATCAATGAGGAACGCTGAAAAGCGTGCAACATAATAGTGAACAGATTAGGTGGTGCTTCATTCAATTCAAACATTTCAGATACTCCACCAGTGAAATCTTCCATAGCTTCACACGTACTACCCCCTTTTAATGCTTCGTAAGATCCATGAAGTCTTAAAATATAAGACGCATTAAAAATACATCAATGAAAAACCAGCAAAATACTTAGTATATTTATTTACTTGGCATATGCTTTTTCAAGTAGAGCACTCCAAAACTCGTTCTCTGTTGCCGATCTAAGAAACACCAACTTACCAGAGTAAGTAGGCAATCTATCATCAACAACCACATCCACCCATCTACCATACTGCCAAAATCTAAAATGGAATATTCCTGCATATTTATCATCAAACCCTTGGTCATTAGGTACAACTTGATGCAAGAGCTTTTCATTCAACGTGAGATTGGCTATGGCTGCTAGCAACCAACAATCTCCTAAAAAAATTGAGATAAAATAAATTTATGAACTTTGATATACTACAATTTAATAGTAATATAACAATCTCTAAACTAACCTAACTCTCCTTGTTTTACGTCAAACCTCGAAGCACCCTCGTGGAATAGAATAGGATTGTCAGCTATTTCTTTAGGTCTGAGCCATTCAAAAGGTCTGTCTGGACTACGACTGTAAAATATCGATGAGTCTACTGTATCAAAATCAGGGTCTTCAAACAGTGCCCCGCGTTGTAAACATTGATTTCTTAATACTTCAAAGTCTTGAACTTCGCCAGCTTTTGGTCGAAAACCTGACCCACGTTCTCCAATCTTTATTAATATAAAAAAAATATATTAATAAAATATGTTTATATATTAGTAGAATATTGCCAAAGTAAAACTACAATTTAGTTTTAAAAATTATTTTATACACACATAAAATCAATCTAATAGAAATTACTAACTATAGATTGACACTCACGCTAAGGTCATAGAATAACATAATGAGTATTTCATTAGTGTAAATTTTTTTTCGTGAAAACAAAATTAAAGGTTAACTTTTTCCTCGTAAACTCAATACAGCGTACAAAAAGTATGTACTTAATAAGTCAATATTATTTGTATTGAGTCAAGAAATTTTGTTTTTTTTTTTAGTAAGTAAACTACTTAGAGTTTCACTTTGAAGGTTTAATTAATTAATTAATTTACTGAGAGTTAACTTTTTCAAACGAATAAATAAATACAATTTTAATTTGTATTAAACACCATTCAATATGTGATATAAAATATTTTTAAAAATTGTCAAATTCAATACACTTTTTTAATATGAATGTGTTGAAATTCATGGATTGTTGTATTATTTAGTATATTAACAGATATATCCAGTTTTTCAGTTTTATTCTGACAGGGACCTGCAACTATCGCTATGAAGATGAACTGTAATGACTTTAAAACATCAATATTAAACTAAAGACATGAATATATCTGTAAATATTCTATATAATTTCTTTAATTAATATAAATATATTGTATTTGAAAAATCCAAAATATTTAACTTGTTATTTTATTATTACAATTTTTCTCTAGACAAAAATTTTCCTTTGATAAATATATGGACATATTTAAATTGATATATTGTCATGCTATGAGAACATTTTAGATAGTTCATTTGTTTTATTAAAAACCACTATATCCTCGAAACACGCACGTTTACTATAAAAAAAAAAAAGTGAAATATATACATGATAGATGCCTAAGCTATGCACACTAAAAAATGAGTTAGATTTTTATTAATCATAATAATTACATACATTTATTTTTAAAAACTATTATTTAAAGTATTTATGAAATACTATATATAACTATTAAGATTGTTTTAATTTTTTTAATTTTGATAATCTTTAACTGAGTAAATATAATTTTTATAAATGATGACGCAAATATATCATAGTTTATATTAATAGACTGCAGCAGCAATTAGATGATAATTGATGCATGAAAATGTATAACAAATGTGCTCAATGAAAAACAAATTAAGAACAAACAAATATTGCCTAAATATGTACTAGGGTTTCGTTAAATAAGCAACATATTAAAGCTGACCATTTCATATACTTAAATGACACACCTTACAAAAATAATACATCCGTTCAGATTACCTGTTGCTTTTCAATACATTTAAACTATTCTGTAGTAATAGGGACATAATTTTATCTATGATCTACAAAATTTATTTTTTTATAATTTCATATACACTAGTATAAATATTATTTTATGAAAAAGTCAAATACAATAATAATTGACATTTAAACAGTATTATATTTATTAAATATTCAAACAAAGGAGCCAATTTTTAATTAAGTATTAAATTAAACAATTTAAATACTTAAGAAAAATAGTCAATTAAAAAATTTAATTAGACACTTTAAAGTAATATTGTAAAAATTAGTTAAGTGTTTTTTTAAAATTATATTTATTAATTTAGTATTTAAAATCGTATTGAAAATATTATCAATAATTAAGATTTTGTAGCATATATGTATTTAGAAAAGTTTTATTTCAATTTCTGTGATTTAACAGTGGTATATTTAGAGACAAAAAAAAAACTTTTTTCAAATTCAAATTCAAAAATTCATTGATATTTTTATACTCCCCAAATATTAGTACTAATATAACTCTACAGAAAAATAAAAACGTTTCTTTTTTTCGAAAAGTATAATATGATAACATAAAAATAAATAAATCCTTACATTGAATATTGATATTTTGCCGCGTTTGTAAGGCATGATTTGTGCCTCCTATCACACTACTTGAAGTATCTAACTAAATCTAAATAAAACTGTTTTTCACATGTAAATAAACACAACTGAACTGAACACTAGGAGGACGCGAATAATAATAATCTGTAATTATTATTACAATTGACTACCGTTTAATGTAGAAACAGTAATGTTTAATGGACAGACCGCCATAGGCGTGTGCTTTGGATCGTGTCTTTTGGTACTTTAGCCGGTAGCCGCATGCCGGATTTTATTGATCGTTTAAACGCACCGTAGTGATTCCCAAAATTTAAAACTGTAAACACGAATTGTACGTCAACGGCATCAGTCATATGTACCCCTGAAGTCACAGCGAGTTATCACATACAGTTAATTTTTTTGATTATCAATAAACGTTTGATTTTGTTTTTATCATAACTAGAGCAGTTAAAAAGAAATATTTAACAAGTTTATCAATGGCGCAAGAAATTTGTTAGAATAATTGACCTTTACTTTTTTAAGAACTCAGCATTGTTATATTAGTATAATTTTCACTTATTTTATAAGAATATTAGTGAAAAAATTAGTTTATTTTATTTGAAACGTTTACACTGCCATTTATGGTAAATACTTTAACTATGAATTACTTTGTAATATCTGTAAATTTAATACTCTTTAAGAATATTGACATTTTTTAAATATAAACTGAACTATTTTAGCTTCGATGCGAAGCTGTTTTATGATTACAAGCAATACAAATAACAAAATTTTAAAACACATACATAAAAAAAGAAAAAGCTGTGTTTTCAAATATCTTTTTGAAATTAAATAAAAAATTTTAATAATACAATACATATTTAATTATTATTTTTATGTTTATTTGTTCATTGTTTTTATTATCTCGTTTACTAATGTTTTCTTCTCTTTTAAAAATTGATGGAACCATTTAAGATCATGATCGTAATTATGTTTAGAATAAAAAATAGTGGTAATGTTATTCAACTAACATTAATTGAGATTATCCCTACTAATATAGTGACACTTTTATTTTCTTTGATATATCCCATAACACCATAAAACGTAAAAACAAAAATGAATATCATTGATATCAAAAAAATGACAACTAAGAAAAATTAAAATTAAATTATTTAAAATTTTATAACCAATTCAAAATTTTTCAAATTATAACTCAGCTTTTTGACCAAATTTTAAATAACAATATGTAGAAACTCTTAATCAATCATGTTTTTTTTAATTTTATCGACGTAATTTGTTACAAGACGAAAAATGTTGACAAACAGAAATGATCTGCTAATAATTTTACTAAATACCCTCGATCAATGATCCTGCATATACAGGTGTCTCTTATCTTATGAAATATATGAAAATAATAATATTCATAATCTATAACAGGTTTGTCTTTAGGATATTAAAGATAAACTAAAAGAGAGCACCTTTTATCGAAAACGTTTTTTATTCAACTAATTTCATAAAATTTCTATTTGATTATAAAAGTGAAGAAAGTTTAGAAATTGAAATATACATACTTATAACATATAGGTTGATGAATTAAGGCCTAAATGTTTTATTGTTATAAATATTTAATCTAAATAGTTTAATTGATAATTTAATTCTGTACCATGTGCTTTGTATTATTCTTCTTTACAATTGACAAGTGTCATTTAACTAAAATTAAGTCTGCCTAAACGTATCAAAATATGACCATCAGACGCCGTTTTAACATACTTTCTAACACATCAATTTTAACCACCTATATTATTAAATTGTTAAGGCTTATAATTACACCAATATTTAAGTTATTATTAGAACAAAATATTTGATTGTTTAGTTCAGTGAAAACGAAAATTTTATCATATTTAACTGTAAGTTGTGTAGTAAAAATAACCAAAATTATATTATTTATACAAAATAGAAGAAAAAATTAAATAAACAAGCTGAGTATTTAAATTTTGTAAAATACTAAAACATTAATTTTCTTATAAAAATACAGTATTTATATTTTATATATTTTCATAGATAAAAAATAAGAAAGAGAATAAATTAATCACGGGGCTTATGACTACCCCTGAAAAAATGAAAATTACTATATTGACTTTTATTTTAAATTTCTTGATATGTTAATAAATTTAAAATGTAAAATGCAACAAAATAAAATGTGAAAACTAATAAAAAACCAACTGTTTTTTTATCATTAACCAATTAATAATCTTTTTACAAGTGTTCTATGTACATTCAAAATTCAAATTTTGCCAAGAAAAATATAGCCTCAAAGAAAAATCGTTTATTGTTCAGATTACATGAAACACTACTGATAGTAGCTCGGGCTCTTTTGTTTGGAAATGAATAAAAATAAAAATACAATAGAATTCCTTATCCTATTCCAATTAGTTTGACCTCGCTAAAAAAATAATGAAATACTCCACACAGTCCATAAAATAAGAATATCTATAAAACTTCTTGGTGCTAAAAAAATCTTAATATTTAAAAGTGTACAATATAATTTCACGCTTAGAAATAACGCAAGATATTGAACTCAGAAGTATTAAAAAATGCATAAAAAGTATTGTTCTACTTTCATATGTAAGAAATATTACCAAAGTAATATGATGCCTACTAGACTATGGATCAAAAAGGTAATTTTGGTTGCAATTATTTTGTTTGAAATTCATAACATTAACATATATTTACGAAATATACAAAGTGAACATTATTATATATAGACATTAAGTCACCACAAGAGGATCGCATGTGCCAATAGTCGCATCACTATGCGAGTTAAAAACTTAGTGTAGTCACACAAACTGTATAGACATAAGAATGAGACAGGTATGCTCATATTACCATCAATATTTCGTAAGTGTGGGCGTTTTTTCGTGCCAAGACATCACTTTATAAGAATGCTGTACCTACTCGTAGAATGCTGGTTTTAATAAAATTATGTACACTACACATAATAGAAAATACACAAACATGTTTGTGTATACAAAACTGCATATTTCACAGTAAAATGGCAATGTATTATTATAACATTTTATCTTTTTTTACTAAATA